ATAGTGATGCTGAATTGCATGACCCAAATGAATTCGAAGAATAAGCAGAAGCTGAAGTCAAAATTGAGTAAAATTGTCGATGACTACCTGTTGGCAAGAGATAGGTCGAGAAGAGTCGACAAGCCACCTCAAAGACTTGGGTAGGTAGATCTTATATCTTATGCTTTAACCTATGCAAGTGAGATTCTGGACGAAGAACCTAGAGAGTATAAGGAAGTTATGAGAATTAGAAATAAAACTGAATAGCTGAAGACCATGGATGATGAGATGAAGTCTCTTTATGATAAACACACTTGGAAACTGATCAAGAAATCTGTTGTAGCTAGGTTAGTCAGCTGTATGTGGATTTTCAAAGTTAAGGAAGGAATCGAAGAAGTTATGTCGAACAAATACAAGGCAATATTGGTCGGAAGGGATTTCACTCAAAAAGAAGTTGTCGACTTCAATGATATGTTCTCTCTTGTTGTGAAGCACATGTCCATTCGAATGTTGCTTCCCATGGTGGCACAACTCGGCCTAGAACTAGAACAAATAGATGTGAAACTTCAAGGTCGAATTATCATTGTTAAATGTGATAGTCAAAGTGATATACACCTGTCGAAGAATTCAGCATATCATGAGCGAATCAAGCACATCGATGTGAGACTGCATTTCATCAGAGGGGTAATCGAGTGTGGAGAAGTCTAACTGCTGAAGGTTTCAACCGATCACAATGCTGCTGATATGATCACCAAAACATTACCAAGTTGCAAGTACTTCCACTGTATGCAGTTGATAAAGTTGCATGAAGAAAGTTAGTTTGTTCCCATGTTGTTATAGAGTTTGTTCTAAGGTAGAGATTTGTGAGATATTAGATTGAAGTCTAATATGGTTGAAAGTTTGCTTCTTGGTTAGATAATTCAAAGAATCTTAGCATGTCGTCGAAGTCTGCTTACATGTTATAGTCGAAGTATGTTACGCATGTTAGCATGTCGAATTGGATATTGGTTGTAAGGCAAATTGTTTAAGTTAGCTTGTTCTCTAAGTTAACTTGTGTAACGAGCCTGTGTGTAAAAACTCATTAGATCAGTATGTTAGTTTTCTTACAAATAGCATGATAGTCTCTCATCTTTGTGTGTCGTGCAAATCTTAATTAGGGTGAGAGAGATTATTTGCTATTTTATAATACTTGTAATCTTGTTTTAAAGAGAAATTGAAGAATAACAATTTATAATCAATTTCATTGTATTCTTTTTGTTTTCTTTTTTTTTACCCTTATGGTTTTCTTGCTGATAAGAAACCAATTATATTTTGTTATTTCAGTATTGTTTTTCACAATAATTATGATAAGTATCCTCCAACTTAAGTCAAATAGACAACTTTAGTTCTTTGCATAAATTAATATTTTGAAAACCAATTAAATGATCGGAGTGGAGTTATAGTTTTCTATAGTTTACACAACTAATCTTATTTTAACTTATTGTTTTTTTGTTAGACTAATTGAGTTTAAGTTTAATTTTATGCAAAAGCTGGAAGTAAAAATGTATGTTGGAAAACTTATTATGCCCTCCCAGGTAGGGCTGGCAATGAACCAAACCAACTCGAAGATAGTTCGGAATTCGACTCGACAATTAAATCGTTGAACTAGGTTCATGAACCAAATGAGTTGAGTATGAGCGAAAAATTAAATTCGTTAACTAAATGAGTTGAACTTGAACTATACATAGTTCGACTCGTTAGGTTCATGAGTCAACTCGATTACATATGAAAAGAATTATACTGTCTTTAAGATTAGGTTTAAATATTTACTTCAAATTTTAGACAAATTTAATCTTCAATTTAGTAGTTTTTGAATTAGACTCTCAAATGTATCTCTTGAAAGTTGTGTAGGTTTTGAATTAGTAGATTTCGAAGATAAAGTTAAATTTCAATATGATAAATTTTATTTTATTTTAATATTTTATTTAAAAAATATATATTTATTTAAAATGTCAAATATACTAAAAAATATATATATTTAAAAAAATAGTTTTTAAGTTCGTGAATCATGTGAGCTGAACCTAATGAGATGAACCTAACGAGTCAAACCGAACTGTTCGTGAACTTATAACGAGTCGAGTTTGAGCTTAAAAAAAAGCTCGTGTCGAACTCGAACTCGAACTCGAATTCGAACAATTCTTAACGAGTCGAGCTGAGCTGAGGTGAGTTCGACTCGACTCGACTCATTTCCAGCCCTACTCACAGGTGATAGAGAATCTTGGCACTTCCTCATAAGGACAGTCCCCTTCGTAAAAATGGTTAAGGAAAATAGATCAAAATTAAGGCAATCCTAGTTCATTCTGTTATAAGACCTCTGGTTATATATATATATATATATATATATATATATATATATATATATATATATATATATATATATATATATATATATATATATATATATATATATATATAAACAATGAAATATAGTAATGGGATTGAAATCTATATCTAACATAATTGAAAATAAACAAAAGCATAGAATAAAAAGAAGGAATCAAATCGAAACAAAAATAGAATAGAGAGAAGAAATGGGATACTTGTGTTCTAGTTTCTCTGCTTCTCTCTTTCCCCGATTAAGTTGTTTTTTTTAGTAAGAGGAGTGAAATGGGTAGTGTTGTTCTTACTCTTCTTCTGTCGATCTCTTTAAAAACCCTTTTGAATGTTAGGAGAAGAGGGGAAATGAGTTTTGTATAAAATGAAAGAGAAAGAAGGTTTAGGAAGTTAATTTGGGTTTAATATGAATTTTAAAATTGACAAAATCTTATCATGACAAGTGTATTGCAAAGTAAAGATTGAGTGAATGAAAAATAAGTTAATATGTTAATTATAATAATGGGTATTTGGTAGTGTAAATTGCAAATTTTAAAAAGGACATTTTTAGATAGGTAGTTAATAGTTGATATATTGGAAGGGTCATGCGTATAGCTCAGTGTTATTGGTGATTTAAGTACATAACCTGAAGATTCATACTTGATAATTAGAATGAGCGGGAATGCAAACAAATGTAAACAAAATATCAGAAGACTTAAGCAGATGGAATTTGAAGTTTAAATGCAAACAAAATATCAGATCATGATTTCTCCATCAATCAATCACAGCCTGTTACACTGTTATGCAACAACACCAGCACAACTCACATAGTTTTTAATCTGGTTTATCACGAGAAAACCAATCATAGCAAAATGAATTGTCATCTAGTTTGCGACAAAACTCAAATCAAGATCATCCCTCTAATGCCAATCAACTCCAAACATCAAGTAGCTGATCTATTTACAAAATCCCTTCATCTAGAACCATTTTCATATTTAATTTCCAAATCATGAATTATTGATATACATTCAAATTTGCGAGGTGTTTAGATATAAATTATTTTTATATATTTGGCCTGTATTACATTTTATGTGAATCAGTTAGAGATTTTTTCTCTAACAACCTTCTTCATTGGACTATATAAGCTATAGGCTCTGCCAGTGTATCAGAAGATTAAGAAAAATAATGATAGTTTTTTTCTTCATTTTCTTTTATTGCATTTATGATTCTACTGTTAGCATGTTAACATTGTTAATAGATACGATTAAAAAAGTTAGAGTTCACCGGGAGTGAGTTCATTGGGAAAAATCATACAATTTCCGTTTCCAACTTTCCATACGTAAATTAAGGATTTCCAAAGTGAAAAATAAGTAGACTTGCTAGAAATGGATGAGAATGCCTTAATTTCTTCCATACATTCAATTGAAAATATGACACCAATAATCTAGGGTGTTTCAAATAACCTTCATTTGAAAGGCCTCATTCATGCAATGTAGGTTCTCGAGACCAGGCCACCATTTCCCATGCTTTAATAGCATACATCCCACCCATCCGAGTGCTCTTTATGCATAGTGTCTGAATTTCCATAGATGAAGCTTCTTTGAAATATCCCCAGATGATAATACACCATCTTAGGCAATTGAGCATATCGTGTGGAGATTGTTAGTGATTGATTTACCATGATTCTCCACGCTAAGCAGAGCCATTGTTGCCTAGAAGCACTGATCGAGATCGAATCTTGTTGATGATGTTCTTAAATTCGCCTTTTGTAGTCCTACCTGGAGCATGTTTGCTGCAAGTTTTCACTATGCAACGTCTGGTCTGCAAATTTTGGAGAAGTAAATATGGGTTTTGTAAGGATTCAACTTTTGTTCTGAAGTTTGGACATAACTCCTCCAAGCAGTTCACAATACAACATGCTTCCTCAATAATTGTTTATGCAAAAAGAATTAAATCATCAGAAAAAATGAGGTGAGATACCAGAGGTCCATTCCGATCACACTAATGGTAGAACTTAGATTTTATTTACAATGAATTTGGTTAACTTTAGATTAAACTCTTCTTCATTTTATAATGATAGACTAAAGAATAATTAGCATTACAGGATATTTCATCCCCTCAAAAAAAGAAGAGTGACAAGAATACCATCCTCCCTCTAATGTTTTTTTTTAAAGTCGCCATCAAATGCATAAATAACCACTTCCTCCACCTTTTCAATATTCATCACTTCATCTATTTATTCACTGCATAAATTGAGGGAGAGTAAATAAAATATGATAACCACACAATTTCGGGTGAGATTAAAAGTATTCAACTAACAATTGAAACTAAAGCTTAAAAAACATGAAAATTTTTAGAGTTAATTATCAAACAAGTCATGGTTTAGTTTGTAACGCCATCCCCCATCTACAACAACAATAATAACAAAGTCTTATCCCACTAAATAGAGTCGACTACATGGATCAACTTTCGGTATAATATTCTATCCTAGACCATGTTTTTATCCAAATCTTTAACCCCGTCTATAATGCTTAAATATATGATCACTGCATTAAGAGCAACAACACATGCACAAAAGCAATACTAAATAAATTACATCCTATTTTTGTGATTGCTGCTACAAGCTAGTATAATTTCAGTTCACTTACTCAAGAGCTACACACATATGCTTACTTACGAGCTTCTTTCATACCATCAACAGCATCACTTGAAATTTGATTACATTTGTCCAATGCAGAGGCATCTCGCGTTTCTCTGACAACCCTTTTCACCATCCTCCGCTGCTTCATTCCCTTGGCGTTAGCACGAGTAGTCTCATCACCTAAATCAAATTCAGTCAGGAAGAACAAGACATAATCAATAGCCATTCAAAATAAAAAATAGTCAACAGGTTCATCATTGGATAACCTTTCTGAGAAGCATTTGATCGAACAGGTGGAGGATTATCGTCCCTGGCCTGTGTTGTTTGGGATGGAGGCATTAACGGCCCAATTAACTTTCCACGGAGGATGGATTCTTCCTTCATCTTCTTCTTACGAATTCTCTTTCGTTGAGCTCTTGTTAGTTTCTCTGTCTCATAACCGCGTCCTCCTTCTTCGCCGCTTGTTGAGGCATTTTCACAGTCATCTAAAGTGCCTGACGTTACGAAAAATGTTTCAAAATCATGTGAGTTTTTAGAGAGTTTCATTTGGAGTTTGAAATCGAACCTGAAATAACGTCGTCGTAAGATTCCAATTCGATCAAGTCTTTTACTGGTTCCGAGTCCTGTTCATGCTAAATGAAGAACGGTAACAATGTATTAACGATCAAATTATTAAAGAAAGAAAGACAATAAGGAAAAAATATAGAATACCTGCGGAGATGGAGGATATAGAGTGTTAACAATTGCTTCGTTAAAGCGGCGTTTTCTCTCGTCTCGTTTCATGAAAACCAAGATGAGTTTTATGGATATAACAATATCAATAACAGCTTGTTCAATTTTGGTTTGTGCCACATTACTTGCTATTTTTATTTTTATTTTGGTTTGAAAAAACAATTTAGTTCTAAAGCATGCTAAAACATTCTTTTACTTTCTATTCTTGAGAACTCTTTATGGATCATTGGAAATGGAAGGGAAATGAATCTCTATTTGGACAATGGTGTGATATTCTTTGGTTAAGAAGTATAATATTCCTAACACATGATCACCTCACTTCACCTATTAGTGATTTTATTGTATTGGAACAATATTGTGTTTTTGAGTGAATAAATAAAGAGATTAAGTTGATTATTAAGAAATATTGTTTAAAAAATAGATTTTATTGAGAGAGAAAAGACATTATTTACATTTATAAATTTTGTAATTAGTCTCACAAACTTTGTAACTATCCGAACATCTATAATATGAATTATACATCTTTAACATTCCACCTAATTCATATTTTTTAAACTTCTCATTTTAATAAGCTCTTTCAACTCATTAAACATCGTCTTCTTCAATAATTTTATGAGTATGTCAACTAACTGCATTTGTGATTTGCAATACTCCAGTTTAAACTTCCCTTTATTCACTTGATCTCTAAGAAAGCGATATTTCTTATTTATGTGCTTACTTCTGACATGACTCATGGTATGATTGGCTAAGCTATGATTGATTTGTTGTTTACAAACAACTTCATCTTCTCATGAACCGACCTTGAGTTCCTTTAGTAACATTTCTATCCACAAAGCTAGACATGCTGCATAGAAAGTTGCAACATATTCACCATCACATGATGATAATACTATTATTTTCTACTTTCTTGAACTACAAGAAATTAGAGCACCTCAAATCATGAATAAGTAATTTGCAGTACTTTTCTTATCATTTTGATTGTTTAGCTTTGCAATATTTATAGGAGTTTTTCCATCCATAGTTCACCATTAGTTATCAATTTCTTAATATTACATTCATTTTTCTTTTCAACTAGCAATTTAAATCTCTTGAACTGGGTGAATGCATCACTCTTTCTTTCAATCAGATAAATTTGTATGTATCTTGTGAACTCATATATATATATATATATATATATATATATATATATATATATATATATATATATATATATATATATATATATATATATATATATATATATATATATATATATATATATATATATATATATATATATATATATATATATATAAGTTAGGAAATAATAGTTATCTCAATTTGACCTTACTTCAAAAGGTACACACACATCATAATGAACAAGCTTCAGCGTTTGCTTTGACTTTATAGGCAAGTTATGTTTAAATGACTTCCTTGATTGTTTGGCTTTGCAACATTCTTCACATATCTGACGTGGCTCCACTATCTAAGGTAGACCACACACCATCTTCTTCATGTTAAGCATATTAACACTTTTGAAGTTCAAGTTTTCATACCTCCAGTGCCACAACCAATCTTTATTTTCTGCCACAGTTGAGGTAAAGCACTATGATCAAACATGTTGATGTGTATCTTGAAGGTTTCTTTATGCTAATGGTGCTCTCAAGATGACCTTTCCTTCATCCTCATACACTCTCAAATGATTATATACCATCTTCACATTGCATCCTTTTGCAAGTAATTGACCTATGCTTATCAAGTTACTTGTCATAGAGGGTACATATAGTACATCAGAAACGGTAGCCTTCTGACCATTGTTTCTCACCACAACTATGTTTCCTTTTCCTTTTGATGAAACATGCCTACCATCTGTAAATCTTATCATTTTCTTTACTAAATCATCTAACATGATGAACTAGTTCTTGTTGCTTGTCATATGGTTGCTACATCCTGAGTCTAGATACCAAACATTAGTTTGAGCATCACTAGATTGAGTGTTGGTCATTAGCAGTACATCATCAGAATCACTCCCTCCTACATGTGCATGTTGAACTTCTTCCTAATCTTTTTCCCTCAAATCCTTGTTTAGACAACAATCTCTTGCATATTGGCCAAGTTTTTTTACAATCATAGCATTGCACTTCTTCATGTCCAAATTCTTTCTTGGATTCTTGTTTGACATGCCTTTCTTGATTGGATCATTTTGATTCTTTGAATTATTGCTTGAATTTTCAAGAGTTGCTTGATTATTTCTCTGTTTCTCTTTTACCTTTCTATCTTTTTTGATGAACATTGCTTGTAGTACATATTCAGCCATTTCTCCTTCTTTGAGCTCCTTTACTTCAATCTCATATCATGAGCTTCTAATGAAGCTTGAATTTCCTTTAACTTAATCTCATGTAGGTTTTTGGACTCCTCTATTGATATCATGATGTAATCAAACTTTACAACCAAAGATCTTAACACTTTCTTAATCTTTTACAAGTCGTTGATATTGATTCAGCACATTAAGATTCATCCTCCCAAGTTGAAATGCATAACTGATATTTTGTGGCAGCCCTCATGCTAGGTTGGCTCAAATGCAACATTGATGAAATGGCTATGGGGATCACTTCTTTATGTGCTTATAGTGGGATTTTTATAAATTAATTGATATGTCATATGATCAGTTTATCCTCATTTATTGGTTATGCCAATGCATTACTTGCTAAACTTAGTGTTGGCTATTGAGTTATCTTTAGAGAAAATTTGAAGAAGATTTGGATGGAATCTGATTCATTGATGATAATGAAAGCTTTAACTAATTTAACTATTGTCCCTTGGTACATCAAAATTAGATGGTTAAATTGCTTATACATCTCACAATCAATAGACTTCATAATATCCCATATTATAAAGAAGGCAACACATGTGCGGTTAAACATGCTAGTTATGGTTTTTTTGCTAAAAGATACACTTGGTTTAATCATACTCATGAAATAATTTCTAGTGATTTCTCGTGTTATAAGCTAAGCATGCCTAGGCTTCGAATCATATACTCTTGAGAGACTTTGGCTTGGTCCCCCCTTTATATTTTGTTTTGTTTCTTCTCTTATTTGAACATATAGGCCTTGCCTTTGTCAAAACAAAATTTTCACCCTTTTGTTAAAGTTTACCATTTAGTGTCAAAATAAAAATACAGTTCTCCCATCTATAGGTAGATAATTACATCCTAAAGTATAACATTCCAACAAATTTAAACATTGATCTTTGAAATTCATCTTCTATTATTTTCTTCGGCATAGATTAACTACCAGTCATCTTCTATTTTTCATTCATCTCTTCAATAAAAATATATTTACAATTTCTTGTTCGTTTGAAGAGCCATCAAATTTAAGACTGTCTTATTCATTCACTATCTCTTTTACAAGTTATAGATCTTGCAATTTCAAAATTGTTATTAATTTTCTTCTCTATTTTGTAATTTTCGATTTGTTATAGTTCCTTAAAAATATGTGTGTTTGAAAAAATAACAGAATATAATTTGACCAAAATATCATGCCTATTAAGAAAATGAATTAACTCAATAAACATTGTCGTTAAACTTAGAAAATAATGATTTTACAATGTTGCAAATATATATCAACTAAGTAAGATAGAGGCTTAAGGCATTTATGATGATTGTAATGTCTTAGCATAATAATTAACTATTACTTATAATAGTTAATATTGTGAATCTATGCGCTTGCAAGTATTGTTAAGGTGATTCAAAGTGGTAAAGATTGTTGATATCAAAGCTGCAATCAATTGATTTGTTGTTTGGTTTTTAAAATGATAATACTTTATATCAATCGTTATCTAGTGAAGTCTTTATCTATTAAGGATAGCTCAAGTGGCTGAAGATGTTCAACCTTGTTTATCAAGATATCTTCTTGAGTCAAGCTATCCTTTTGAAGATGCTCTTGAAGACGAGGTCATCTCTTTGAAGTTAACATTCTGGTCAAATGATATTTAAGTGAAGACTTATGTTTCAAGGTTCACCGATGGTTTATCATTTCAACTATATGATAATGGTAATCAACTTGAAGATCCCAAGCCTCGTTAAGCTAGAATACTCAATATTCTTGTGTGATGCTAAAGTCAAAGATAATGATTTCAAGACTTGAAGCTTCTGAGTTTTGAAAGAGAGAAAGTGTGAAAGCTTGACTGATCATATCTGTCCGAGTGACTAGTGTCTTGTAAAGGTACATGATACTTCTAAAAATATTAAGGCAAAATCACGCACACAGAGTAAAAAAGTTTGAGAAGCTCTCTTTATTTTTGAAAACCACTTGAAAATATTTTTAAGGCCTAGCTAACTAATTAAGGGATTGTCTGATCAATTGGATGGCTTTTTACAACTGGATAAACGATTAGCCCTAATAATATAATCGATTATTTTAACTTTGTTGAATCTAAAATTGATTGGAATAGTCTCTTAATGATCAATAACAGCTAAATATTAAAACCTACCATTCGGGGCTTTGACAATCGATTATTGAGGTGCAATAATTGATTGGTCTAATCGCTTATAACATTCATTTTACCCACGGATTGTTTCCAAATTTAAACCATAATTCATCTCATATACAGTGACTTTCTCTATCATTTCATATCATCAAAAAAATAGGTTGTGATCATATTTTCACTCTCTTGTCATTTTCTATAAATCTCTCATTTCTCACATATATTTTGCCTTAATGCTTCGAGAGTGTTCTTGTCTCTAAGTGAGGATCATTGTTCTAGGTGAGAGTTTAAATGTAATTTACCAAGAGTGTATTATCTCTTGAGTAAAACATAGTTAAAAAAAAAAGAAATTTTGGGATTGCTGAATCAAAAACTACACGAAATTAAGAGAGCAACGGAATTATCATAGTCTTTAAATTTTTTAAAATATTCTAAAAAAAAGAAAAGAAAGATGCTTGCCTATATATATATATATATATATATATATATATATATATATATATATATATATATATATATATATATATATATATATATATATATATATATATATATATATATATATATATATATATATATTTTAATTT